CAGATTTTTCTTAGAGAGGACAGGATCACAGTTACGTGGCCCATCACTGGTGCCTTCTAAGGTCTCCATTAGCGACAAGGTGAAGTCAGGAACTAAAGCCAGGAATTACATTGATACTGTGTGATGTGGGAATGACAACATTAGGCTAAACGCCCACTCCTAGTCCTTAGTCCCATTTTTTTCTCCCATAAGAGTCATATCAGGCACTGATACTTAACTGCTTTATTAATGATTACATTCATGGATTTTGTTTTCCACCTTTGTTGAACTGAAATGATTTTTTCAAATTTATAATTATAAAGGAAAAGAAAATGACCTTGATGTGATACACATAACTTGGCTTCTAAGAATGCTTCTCCTTTGAAATTGCATTGATATCAATGTGGTGTACATTTTCAATAAGAACTGGCTGTATTAGCAAACTTGCCATAAATCATTTGTGGAATACAAGTGAGAAACTGCTAATAAAGTTTATTTAGGTTTTAAGATTCCTACATTCTCTTTTAAGAAGCTTGGCATTATTCAGTTACAACTTTTAAGATAGCCTAGAATTGATGGTTGTTTGGAGCATGTTCCAGACTTTTAAATATGGTTTAGCAGTGCAGCCATTTAACTGGGGCATCTGGTATGATAGCCACTAGCCACATAAGACTGTTTAACGTAAAACTCATTAAAATTAAAATGCATGTCCTCAGTTGCACTAGCTACATTTTAAGGGGTTAATCACAACATGTGGCTGGTGGTTCACTTATTGAACTGTGGAGGTATGGGAAGTTCCATGGGGACAGTGGGCTAGACGTTTGGCTCCAGTGGCTAAGACATGCCCACATTCCATCTCAAGAGTGCCAGGGTTTATATCCGTCTGTGTTCCTGATTCCAGCTTACTGCTAGTGTTCACTGTAGGCCACAGCTGATGATGTCTCAAGTAGCTGGGTCGTTGTTACCCAAATGGCAGACCTACAGTGAGTTCCATCTCCTGCCTTCTGTTTGGCACAGCCCTAGCTGTTGAGGACATTTCGGAAGTGAACCTGTGCGTGGGAATCTTCTTTTTCTCATCTTGCACCTAAATAGATATGAAATAGGTAAATGTAGATTCCATTGGTCAGTGCTAATCTGAAGTCATTCAAAATAGGAAATATGCCCCCAGTAGTTCCGGATAAATGATAAGATAGAATGTTGTGTTTAACACCCTAGCATGACTTTGCTTAGCCTGTGCTGGTTATCTGTATTCTTTGAATGCACTCTAGATGAAAAGAGAAGAAAACATGGAGTTAAGAGAAAAGGATGCTTTTTTTTTTATTATTATTATATTGAATTTGTTCATACAAGAGGATACTCTGAAGACAAGCTATCTTGGTATACAATTAACACTGAAAAAAAAACCCCAAACGATTAACACCTGGTAGAGTCATAGAACTGTCACTTTGAAAAGGGTCACTGATGGCATCTATTAAGCTTTCTTATTTAACTGATGAGAAATTTGAAAAACAGAGAAGTGAAATGATTTGCTTAGGTCACACAGCAAGACAGCAGTGGCCTTATCACTCTTCAAGTTCAAGTTCACTGCTCTCCTCACTGGGCGAAAGGCAACCTTTCTAAGCAGTTCCAGCGCTACACTTCCATTTTCTTGCAGTTTTACTGACAGAAGTTAACTGTAGTAGAATTAACTTTACACAAAAACACAGCATATATTGTGAAATATAAGAAGCTGTCATTTAAAGCCCATTCTCCAAATCTTTTGTATGTATCTTTGGGAAAGAAAAAATGCTATTTTAATTAGTGGATGCTTTTACCTTTGATTTTGACATTCCACATTCTTTTAAAAATGAAAAGGAAATTTGCTTGCTTATGTAAAGAATCATTTAGGGACTCAGGGTGTTGTGGTTATGAAAAATATTTTGTTTTTTAGAATAGTCTTTGATTTTGTAAAGCACATGGATGGATCAGTTCTCACCAGTAATACTGTACCCCTCCAAAAAAAAAAAAACCAAAAAAAAAACCCTCATTGAAAGTAAATGTAAGTCACTGTGAAATGGTTTGTTATTTTCATATTTTATCTTTCCCCCAGAATTATAAGTTTCTATATGCAGTGCCTCAGTTCCATTAGTTGCTGAGAGGTAGCTGGGGAAAGTGAGCTCATTTATCCTAGAAATTGTGAGTGCATGCTGTAGAAGGATTGCATTTTGTTAGGGTTCTGTTCGTTGTGTCCTGCTGCTTCTGCCTTTGCAACTACTGTGTGCACTTGTTTCCTTCGTTTTTCTCTGCTGTGCCTTTATTCTGACCCTCCTCTGCACCCTCTCTGTTTTTAGTCTGTTCCCATCCAGCCTACCCTGGCCTGTCTGTCATGTGGCTAGCGGAGCCATCATTCTTTGAAAACTAATCTGATATTTTGCTTCCTGGAGGGATGCCCAGCAGTGTCCTTCAACCTTTTGCTCAACCAACACTTCCTGCGACCTTACCTGACCCTCACCTAAATGACTATCACCCCTTCCCTTTGCTGTTCTTTCCCGTTTTGTGGTTTTCTGTAGCACTACTGCCTGAGTGTGCTGCATGCAGCCCTGTGGGAGGATGCCACTGGAAGGCACGAGGTGTAGGTGCATGGATGTGCTTCCCTCATGGTGCTTTGAGAGCTGACACTGGGTGTTGGCTGTGTCCACCTGTGCCAGTTTCCAAAATGGGTCCATTTTCATGAGACAGTGATTGGTCTTCATAGATTTGCAAGTCCTTGTCATATGTCATCAGGAGTTCTCTGAAGGAGTTCTCGCAGGCAAAGTCAGGTTTATCCTCCAGTGCCTCAACTGTTTTGTCAAACGGACACCCATAGGGTGAAATGCGGCAGTCTGAGTAGTGACTTGCTGATTTTACTGTACTCCTCCATCTTCTACAGTCTTAGAAGCTACTTACCTGTTGGACAGGTATATTTCTCTGGTGTTGTTTTCAGGAAATAAACTTACTGAATGATCAGGAATTCATATCATTCCTAAGTATGTCCACTTTTCACATGGTCTCTCTCACCTTCTCCGAGGGCTGAAATGAAGACTGTTGCTTTGTCTGTTCTGAGTGAGCCTTTGAGTATGGTATATCCCTATCCTGGGGGTGATTTAGTTATTTTAAAACAAATGGCTACAAGAGCTTTCTGGCTGAGCCAGGCAGAAGCCAGAAGCCAGGAGCTTCTTCTGGGTCTCCTACAAGGATGCAGGGGTTCAAGCCCTTGGACCACCTTCTGCTGCTTTCCTAGGCATGTTAGCAGAGTGCTGGGTTGGAAATGGAGCAGCTGCGACTCCAGCTGGTTTCAGTATGGGGGCATGCATCATAGATATTAACGATATTGGCTACACCACAATGCTGCCCTCTTGCTAGGATTTTTAAACAAATCACAGAAGTCATTCTGCACCCAGCCCTCTGCATTTACCCAGAAGTCCTAATCAGCACTGTTTGAATCCTTGCAGCTGACATCTGTTCCTCAGATTGTGTGTCCTCATCTTCGTTCCAGATTTCTTGCTGGGCACATACACCCATAAATGTTGAATAAATAAAGGATAATCTTGTTGTTTATAGGTGCTTTTTTCTTAAAAAAAAAAAAGTACTCTCTTTTTTTTTTTTACTTATTTTTATCTGAAAGGTGGAGTTTCAGAGAGAGAGGATTTCTATTCACTGGTTCACTTCACAAATGGCTGCAATGGCCAGAACTGAGCCAATCCAAAGCCAGGAGCCAGAAGCTTCTTCTGGATCTCCCACGAGGGTATAACATCCCAAGGACTTGGGCCATCCTCCATGACTTTCCCAGGCCATAAGCAGGGAGCTGGTGGGAAGTAGAGCAGCTGGGACAGTTAATGGCTCCTGTATGGAAGGCTCATGCTTGGCCGGCGGCTTTGCTGAGTTTATGTGTGCTTTCGTGGGTTTGACTGTCACTGCACTAACATGTTGCTGAATGCCTCTTTGTAGTAGCAAGATGTCTACATTGCTGTTTTATGAGCTGATCTAAGTATGTCTATAATTCCTGGTTCTAAAATAGGTGTTTTTTTCTTTGTGTATTGATTGAGAAATAACTTTGCAACCCCTCTCCCCCACCCCCCAGTGGCTGATACAGTAGCTTAGATACAAAAGGTAGATAATTACACATGAGTTGAGTTCATCTTTGGGACCTGGTACTTTTTCAGTCTCCTTCTGGAAGCTATTTCCAGGCCCTCCCCTAGCCAGTCTTCCCTGACACACAGGGATTTTAATGCACTCTTACAAACTTCTTGTTCTGACAAAACCACAAAATTATTTTCAGCAAAGTCGACCAAATAACATTCAAAGGCTGTATGTGTGTGTAGGAGTATGTAGGGATATCAGGTGTTCTCAAATAATATTTTACCACTATGTGAGTCACAGACTAGTCCATTGTTGGGTGTAGGGGCATTGAATCCACATTTTTTTTCTTCCATCTTCATTCTTTGGTGTATTTATTTATTTATTTATTTATTACCTGTATGCACAACAAAATGAGTGCAGGGTTGAAAATACCATGTGGCTGTATCTCCGCCAGAGGTGGGGATGGGTGCTTATTTGTAATGACTGCACCCATCCTGGTATCACTGGGGTCCCTATGTCAGTGAAGTATATAGCGCTATGCTGTGAGAATCAGCTGTCATTCTGCCTCTTTTCCCATCATTGTAACAGAGTAGCTGAGGCATTGCAGAGAATGTCATGTTCTTATTTCCATAGGAGAGCTCATTATTTACGAATAATACTGATATTTTGGTTTTGGTACCATATCACTTGTGACACACAAAGACTTTTTATTTTTTAAATTTATATATATATATTTTATTTGGAAGGCAGAGGGAAGGGGCGGGGACAGAGAGAGAGAGAGAGAGAGAGAGAGAGAGAGAGAGAGAGAGAGATTTCCCATGTACTGGTTCACTTCTGAAATGCTCATAGCAGCCAGGGCTGGGCCAGGCTGAAGTTTGGAGCCTGCAAGTCCATCTGGGTCTCCACCATGAGAGGCAGGGAATTGAGAGGTTGAGCCATCACCTGTTGCATCCCAGGATGCTTAAGCAGGGAGCTGGAGTGGAAAGCAGAAGAGGGATTTCATCCCAGCCATTCTCTTTCAGAAAGTGGATGTCTCCCATTCTGCCTCCCAATACTGCCCTGGAGCTGTTCATGGGGTGTTGAAGTTATGGAGGACTTACTGCTCTACAGGATCAGAGGAGGGGTAGAGAATTTGATTCAGCATCACCATAGGTTGGAGAATGAAATATAGGTTTTATTCTTATGAAGATAATGTCTATACAAAATTAACTTTTTTCTGTTCTTGACCTTTGTTGTTTACCTTATGTGGGGATGTACATTTTAGTCTTTGTTCCAGAATAGTCTGTCATTAGGATTACATTACATGCTAAATGTCATAGTGAGTTGGGAACTGCTTTGATAGATTATGTAACTTTTGGAGAGTGTACAAGTTAATACCATTAATATGTTCTTCTTCTTCTTTTTTTTTTTTGATTGTCCTTAGGTAATTCTTCCTTGCAGGATGAATTAAGACAAGAAGACTCTTATTCAATCAGGAATGGAGAGCAGTTTGTCAGTTTCCAATATGCAAGACTCTGCATCCTCTGCCTTGGAAAAGCATTTGGGCTCAGCTAATGGAGATGGAGATCTTGATTCAGGTAGGGTTTGGTTTTCTAGACCCATGTGATGTTTTAACTTAATGATCAGTATCTTCCAGATAGTACATATCTAGATCACACGTACTGCGTGTTGCATTATGTGCTCTTTAAGGAGATAGCAGCTTTATGCAAGGTTTGGTTCAAAATTAATATGACTGTGCAAGACAGGGTGCACACTGAGTTGACAGTTATTGCCTCAGACTCTTTGTGACTTAAACCTGTAAATACAGCTGATCCATTACCTTTCTCCACCACCCACTGTGATGCTGAATGCCATTGAGCTAGTCTGTGCCATTCTGCAGAAACATGCTTAACAATGGTGCACAGGTTTTGCCATTACAGGCAAAAGCAGAGCTGAGGGGGTTCGGGGGTGGGCGGGTCTCGAGCCAGCAAGCTTGTGCTCTAGCTTAGAAGAGCCAGATTCCATTTTTGTGTAGAATCCCTCAACCAGAAGTTAGTCCTGTGTTCCTGCTGCTACAAGCGATGTAGGAAGATAGAATTCTCTCCGTGTTCCAGAGCGGGGATGGGTAGGAGAATTAGATCTGCTGACACAGGAGATGTTACTGATATGAGATGCTTCCTCATATGTCCATTAAAAAAATTATTATTTTTGTTTGAAAGGCAGATTTACCGAGAGAAGGAGAGCCAGAGAGAGAAATATCTTCCATCTGCTGGTTCAGTCCTCAAATGGCCACAATGGCCAGAGCTGAGCTGATCCAAAGCCAGGAGCCAGAGCTTCCATGTAGATAACAACATCCCAAGGACTTGGACTGTCCTTTGCTGCTTTCTCAGGCTGTAAACAGAGTTGGATTAGAAGTGGAGCAGCTGGGACATGAAGTGGTGCTCATATGGGATGCTGGCACCACAGGGTGGAGGATTAGTTTGCTGTTCCACCATGCCAGCCCCAATTCTTCTTAATAGATGGAGCAATACTCCAGAAAACTACTTATTGTGAAGGAAACTGGGATCATGGGAATTAGTAGTGTATTTCTTTCTTTAAGAAATCAGAAAAACAAAGCAGTAACAAAAACATAAGAACACAGCCTCTGAATTTTAATGTGTAAGTAATGAGTTTATAAATGCATCCTTTTCTGAATACTCAAGGGGTTCATTTAAAAAGGCACTTCAAAAAATTGTGCTCTTTATACGTAACAGTAAATCCAATAGGACAACTTGACTCTCTGACTCAAAAACATTTGCTTGGGAGAATTCATGCAAAATACATTGCTCATTAACTCAGCGGGAGACCTGACCATTACCCAAAGAAGCTGTGTTCACATTTTGATGAGAATAGGCAATGATGGAGATTGCCTGATTGCATTAGGTGTCTCAGATTTTATTTGTATTTGCAAAAAAAAAAAAAAAAATTAAAAAAAAAGCTGGAAACCCTGAAACAACTCAATATATTAACATGTTGAAACATTACACTCTTTGTACCAAAATCAGCTCAGTTTTCCCCAATTTCTGAACTGCATGCAAGTAGGGATGAGAAAAGCCTTCTCCAACCCTTGTCCCCTAATGGAAACATGGAAATAGTCTCGTGGGAGGGCCCCTCCCACAGACTGAACATTCACCTCAATTCTTTTATTGTAGTGCAGATACACCTGCTTAAAAAGTCTCTTTGTTTGCCCAGTGAAGTTCTTTTTCCCGTTTTGGAGTTCCTGAGCTTTCCTTGTACCTTTGCAATGTATCATGTCCACGATACCCTGTGTGTATTACTGTATCAATTTCAATGGTATCTTTTCAAAATTGAGTAAGAGCTAACTACGCACTGGCTTTTCACTTCCATGTTGCTGAGATATGTGTAAGTAGGTTCTGAAGTTCATGAACGACTTGGCGCTGTCCAGACAATTGCTGGTTCTGATGGCTCCTTGTGGATGATGACCACGTGTTGGGTAGGAGTCAGGTCCTGCTGAGAGAGTTCACCTTACTAGCTTACGGCTTCAGCCCCAGCATTGCAGTGATTCCTAGGAGCGGGGCGAGCGAATGTAAGTTCTCTGTTTCTGTTTCTCTGTCTCTTGAGCAAAACAAAAACCAAAAAATCCTTCCAGAAGAGATTGACCTGTCAGATGTACAAGAAAAATCAAGTTCAGTGTGCTGCGGTTTTCACAGTGATGTGTAAGCAGGGGGCTCTGAGATCAGACTTCATGGCACACACTCAGCATTTTGAGTCCTTTACTTGTGTGGGGGAACTTCGACTTTCAAGAGTCCATGGAAGTAGCTGCTGCAGTTAACTGCCATTGCCCACAAGGCAAAGTCATTGAAATGTTGGAAGCAGTTTAAAACCTCGGGCACCCCCTATACGCCAGAGCTAATACATTAGTACGTGAGCACACTGATTTTTTTTTTTTTTGGTCCTTGAGGAATGTGCAAATCATGGATGGATCAATAATTGACACAACTCCCAAGGCTATAAGGAACCATGTTCAGTGTTAGCTTACTTATCCCAGGAACTTTATGTGGCTGGAGCAGGCAGAGGCAGAGGGACTAGCCCAGGAACTGCAGGCCCTCCCCACAGACAAAATGGTTAGTGTCTTCATGCAGTGCACAAAGGACAGTGCACCAAAATGTGATCGTTAGGATTCTGAACATCCTTGGTTACCATGATAAAACACCCAGAACAATACGCTGATGCTGTGAGCAAGAGCTTGTTCGAAATTCTTTCCCTAGGACTGCTAGGTGTAATTTCTGGATGAAACCTGCAGATAAACTGGTGTTGCCTGTTGACACTGGCCAAGCTTCAGAGTAGAATTATGCTGAAATGTGGGCTTGATACTTTTTTCTTTTCTTTTCTTTTCTTTCTTTCTTTTTTTTTTTTTTTGCATTGGGAATATATTAACTAGAGAACCAGAGGCTTTTCTGTTTGGGAAGGAAAGGAGTCAACATTGTTCTTGGACGAATGCAAATCCCACTCTTCATTTTTAGGTGCTCCCCCGCTTAGGTGCTTTTTACATGCTTGCTTTTTCTCTTCTTCTTTAGAAAAACTGGCCAGCTAGGCAACTGGCTCAGCCACAAGAATCTTTGTGTTACGATTAGCACATTTGCTCATGTGTGGCTCTGCAGATCTTGGGTGTGTAGCTGGCCCCACTTCCTTTCTAAGTTGTTGTTATGGTTCTGTCTGTATAACATCCTCGCAGTTGAATCATTTTCTAAAACTTAGGATAAGGTGGACTACAATCAGAGAGGGGGCAGGCTTGTGATGCATTGTTTTAGACACTGCTTTTAAGTGCCTGTGTTTGAACGCCAGCTCTGCTTCCCGTTCCAGCCCCTTGCTCTGTGTGTCCTGGAAGACAGCAGGAGGTGGCTCAAGTACTTGGATCCCAGCCCCCCAAAGAGGAGAGCTGGTTTGAGTTCCTGGCTCCTATCATGAGCCTTTCCCAGCCCCTGTTGCAGGCATTTGGGGAGTGAACCAGCAAGTGGACAATCTCTCTCTCTCTCTCTCTCTCTCTCTCTCTCGGCCATTCAAATAAGTATAAACAAAGCAAATAAGAAAGCTTGAATGTCGTCCTCCTCTCTCATTCCATATTTTATCTATCATATAAGAAGGTACTCAGTAAGATTTTCTTCATTTTTGGAGGGGTGTTAAATAACTAACATGGATGTTTTTAATGATATCATTTTTTAAAGATTTATCTATTTTTATTGAAAAGTCAAATATAGAGAGAGGAGGAGAGACAGAGAGGAAAGAGCTTCCATCTGTTGAGTCACTCCGGCTGCAATGGCCGGAGCTGAGCGGATCTGAAGCCAGGAGCCCAGAGCCTCTCCCAGGTCTCCCATTTGCAGGTGCAGGTTCTAAGGCTTTGGGCCATCCTTCACTGCTTTCCCAGGCCACAGGCAGGGGGGGCTGGGTGGGAAGTGGAGCAGCTGGGATTAAAACTGGCACCCATATTGAATCCTGGCATATGCAAGGCAAAGACTTTAGCCACTAGGCCACAGTGCTGGGCCCTGATCATTTTGTTTTATATCTGTATCTATTTTACATAATTTCTCTCCAATCTACTCAGCTCATTTCAGTTTTGATTTTTTTTTTTTTTCGCAGCATTGTGTCTTCTATGGGTTTAGTGTGTTCTTTTTCTGGCTTCTTAATTTGTACAGTTAGGTTTAAGATTTGAGATGGTTCTCATATATTTTTAAGATTTATTTATTTGAAAGAGTTTCAGAAAGAAAAAAGGAGGGAAGAAGGGAGTGTCTTCCATCTGCTGGTCCACTCGCTAAATGGCTGCAACAACCCAGATTGGACCAGGTGGAAGCTAGGAGTCAGGTGCTTCTTCTGGTTCTCCCACATGGAGAGAAGCCCAGACACTTGGTCCAACTTTTGCTGCTTTCCCAGGCACATTGGCAGGGAGCTGTTTTACCTAATTACTGTCCATATATGTTGCTGAGGTGGCAGGCAGCAGCTTAACCTTGCATACCATAGTGCTGGCCCCAAATACTTTTTAAATTCTAAATCTGCCAATCTTCAGTTCCTTTATTAGTTAGTGGTTCTGGGGTTTAATATCCAGCCGTGTTTGCAAATTTTGCCTCATTTCAGATGGTAAAATTGCACAAGCTAGATTTTATTACTTAAAACAAAAGCTGTATGGGCTATTTGTTTATTCCAGTTTTCCCTCTAAAGTCACCTGTTCTCCAACTTTATAATATAATATTTTATATTTATGTTGATTTTCGTCCTACAAGCAACTCTGTTTTCTAAATGGGGTGGCTGCTAAGGAACATGCTTGCTTTCTTTGGGGTTGTGAAATCTTTGTAATGGCTTTTCACGGTCATTTTCATGATGTCAAGGGGGAAATGCCTGCCGGGGCTCTGTTTACAGGAGAGGGGGATGGTCCACATTTCCTTGATAAAATGTTTATGGGTGTTAGAGGTTTATGCATCGGCTGTAAGTATTGGCTCTGGGTTTACGAGATCACTCCTCGTAAACATTGTGTGTGTTTATCTGCTGCTCTTTGACGAGTCTTTTCAGACTCAGCTGCTTGGGCAAATACATTACATGTGGCCAACTGAAGAAGGCTGCGTTATAACTGACCCTGCATTTTGCAGCTGACTTGGTTGTGAAAACACCACACTGTACAGTTCACTGGGGCTGGGCATAAAGGTTTTATTTTCTAAAATTTCTGTCTGGGGTCTGACTTTAGGGCACTTTTAAAACTGTTTTTTTTTTTTTTTTAGACCAGCAAAGAGTGACAGGGCTTATTGTTCATACTGACTCCTTTAAGTGAAGATGCTCTGACATCATAGCCGGCTTCGCTGAATAAATGAATGTGTACTCAAGAATGAAGAGTTTGTGAAGGCCAGGCAAAATGTGGAAATGTCATACTGGCAACATCCTAAACAGCATGGATGATAATTTTGTAGGCAGAGTTAAGAGTGGCCCCATGGTCTCCAAGTTTGCAGTGGAATCCTTGAAATTTAGCAGTGATGATGGATTGCTCATGGCCTCTGATCTTAGGTATTGGTAAGAACAGGCAATTGATGATGGCTGAGGCTTCATGTCAATGCTTCTGATTCTGATATAGTTTCCAATAGTTGGCATCTTCAGATGGGTTCTACCCAGGAGCCCTGCCTAAAACCCTTTGCCTCTGTAGGCCCGAGACTGAGACATGTAAGTCAGCCATGAAGGTTCCCTTGGACTCCCCATGTAGAGAATGGGAGGGTATGAAGGATTCTGCATGGCAGTTCCAGTGCTGACACCAGGCAACCTGTGTGGGGCTTGTGACTCTGAAGCAGCCGTGACTCTGGGCAGCTCCCAGGTACCCATCTGTCAGGGTTCTTGGAAAGACTGCCAGGTGAGTGTGTGAAGCCCTTGGCTGATTCCCAAACATGGGGTGTTGCATTGGGAAGGTATGTGCTTGCCTTCTGGAGCTGCAGAGGCAGACGCAGGTGAGAGTGGACAGGTTGTTCCATGCAGTGTGATGTGAGCTGATGCCAGACATGTAGTATGAACAAGTACCATGTTTGTTCTCTGAAACAAATGCACTATTCTTAAGCACCATTCAAAGAAACTGTTGAGTAAATCGTGCTTAGTGGCTCCCCAGTAGTGGATAAGAAGCAAATGGATACCTAGTAGCACTGTTGGGGCAAGTTGGAGAGCTGTCAGTGACGCCCTAAGATTTCTGGAAGGTGGATGGTTTCTCTGAGTTTGTTTTACTGTGCCTTAGGCATTCTTGGCCCATCTGGAGTCATCTGTCTCTGGAGAGTGGCTGTGGGACCTGCTGACTTTTTTGGGGGTTGGTGAAAATGAATGCTGGAAGACAAGCAAAGGAAAAACTTTCTCTTTAGATGGCTTTTCTTATCTGTCATCCCATCATGAGTCACTTTATTGGGGAAAATTTTGAGGAGGAAGTTCTAAGCAACTTTGTCTCAAAAGCCAGTATAAATACTACCTTTCAACTTATAACCTTCTTGACTTTTTCTTTCTGTTTTTGACATACTCATTCATTTGAAAGGCAGAGTAAGAGAGAGAGATTGAGAGAGAGAGAGAGTGATTCACTTCCCAAAAAGGTTTTAGTTGCTGGGGTTAGGACGGGTTGAAGGAATAAGGAATAAGGAAGTACATTCTGGTCGTCCACATGAATGGCAGGTGTTCAAAGGCTTGGGTTGTTTTCCCTGGTTTCCCCAGGTGTATCAGCAGGGAGCTGAATTGGAAGCAGACCATCTGGGACTCGAACTGTTCTCTGATACAGGATACTCCTGTTGCAGACAGGAGCTTAACCACTGCACCACAATACTGTCCTCAGAACCTTTTGACTGTGCAATGTTTACCTTCTTCTGACATTTTCTGAGGCTGTACAGAGTGCTTATGAGAGAATTACATACCCTATGCACTATTTACAAGTCTCAATATTTACAAGTCTCAAGTAAGCAAAAAATGTTACAGCTAACACAACATGGTTTTCCTTTCTAGATTGTTCCATCCCTAATTCTCTGCCCTACCTAACAGAATCTTCTAGAATCATTAGCTCATGACTTAAAGTAGTATTTACTTCTTTCCCCCTAAACACAGATTTATTTAGTTTGAAAGGCAGAGTTCCAGAAGGAGAGAGAAAGAGAAATTTTCCATCTGCTGTTTCAGGTCCCTCCCCAGATGACTACAACAGCTGAGGTTGGGCCAGTCCAAAGCTAGGAACTAGGAGCCTCATCTGGAGTTCCCATGTGAATGTCAGGAAACTGAGGCCTTGAACCATCATCTCCTGCTTTTCCTAGGCCATTAGCAGGGAGCTAGATTGGAAGTGAAGCAGCTGGGGCTGGAATCAGCATCTATAAGATGCCAGTGTTGCAGGAGATGGCTTTACCTGCTAAACCACAGGCCAGCCTCACAATTTAACTATTGACATGCCCTTGCTTATAGCATATCTATAGAATGAATATCAATATCCACTGAACATTAGGGTAAAAGCAGAAAGGAGATATATATAGGAGCCAGGAGCCAGGAGCTTCTTCCAGGTCTGCCACTTGGGTTCAGAGGCCCAAGGACTTGAGCAATCCTCTGCTGCTTTCCCCAGGCCATAGACAGGAAGTTGGGTCAGAAATGGAACAGCTGGGACAAAACCTGGCATCCAAATGGGATGCTGGTACTGCAGGTGGAGGTTTACTACTCCATGTTACTGGTCCCAAGGGTAAAAGAAGAGTGTCTGAGCTTTTGACATCCCCCTTTGTCCTTATTTGGACAATCCTTAATACTATATTATTTTCTTATGATTGCTACGTAAACAGCTTAAATTTTTAATACCTTATTATTTTATTTCTGAAACTGTATGATTTGATTTTTTATGTTTATATCTTAAAATACATTATTTGCTGATTTTCAGTTTACAAATGGTATTGGTGGCCTTTGGTATTTTGGGAATAACGTGATTTCCTTCAGAGACTGGGAGTGTGGATCTGTAGAATGAATATCTGTAGATATTCATAGTGTAACGGTGATTTTTCAGAGCCATGTTGTGTGTTTCTCCTTGTTCCCTGTGACAGGAGAAACATACCCTGCTGCTTTTGTTACTGTGCCTTGCCCCAAGAGCTCTATCCTGGCAGGAGGAAGGAGATAGCAACCCAGGACTGGGGGGTAATCAAGAGTAGCTGGCAGCTGCTCTGTTCTTGTTGCCAAGTTGCTGGTGACCTTATACACATGAGCCATGCCTTAGAGTCTCCATATTCCTCCTATCAAAGTGCCATTGGAGTTAATGCTTTCTAAAGCTCCCTATGGTCCTTGTAGCCTTGGAAGCTGTTAGGTCAGTTTCCAGCTACACCAACAGTGAGGGGACAGAGAGCGCCAACACTGTGTACATTTCACCAAGGGGTCCCTTCCCTGTTTTCCTCCAGCTTCCCTAAAAGTTGGTTGTCTCCAAAGGCTAATGTCAAACTAATACATGAATAGGCAACAAATGAGCCTCAAATCACATCTCCTTTCACTTCCCCCAGGAGCACGCAATGTTACTCTTGATTTTGGAAAAATGGTCAGAGCAAAAGCTTTGCATTGTTTCTATCCCAAATCTGCAGTGTTTCTATTCCAAATCAACAAACAGAAGGAGCTCCGTGAGGAATCCAACTTAGTCTTTCCAAACTCTGGATGAATTTGTTTATCATGTTAAGAATTTGCAGGTCTCTATTGAAGGTCAGTGCCTTTCCATTCCTCACATGAGTGTTGACAATTTTTTTTTTTTTCTCTCACAGCAGAAGAAGGTTCAAGCTTGGAGGAAATCGGCTTTAACTGGGGAGAATATTTGGAAGAGATGGGTGCCAGTGCAGCTCCGCACACATCATTCAAACATGTGCGTAAGACAGTTTGTCACTTCTCACCTGCCTTTAGAGGGTGGGATGGGAGGAGGAAGGTCTAGCAAAAAGCCAACGAACTGATCAAATTTAGCGACTGAAAGGAGAAGAGGGAGTGCTGCCAAACTTTCCTAGAAGTGAAGAGATGTGGCAGTTGGTCGAGTTTTCACACATGACAGCTGATCAGATGGGCAGGGCAGGTTGAACTGAGTCAGAGAAGAAGCAGCCAGCGAGGAAAAGAGGTGCCGTGTCCAGGGCCTTCTTGGTGAGTGTAATGCCTCCAGGTTTTGATTTTTGATTGAAGTTTTTGATGGTGAAATTTCATTTCCGGGATTCATAGTCATCTGTAGGTAGAGGAATCAAGAGAACAGGAAATGACCATGCCTATTCTGAAAACATTTGACTCCAACCAAAAAACCCTTCTTATGAATAACATTACTTTGGAGAATGCAAATAAGATGCCCACCAGAGGACAAGTCCCAGAGTGTTTGATCAGATTTTTGCCTAAGTGTTGGTAAGGGTGATCTATCATGAATAATGAAAAGGCTGAATTTCCAGGACCCCAGCTCTTACACAGTTGTGTGCTAATGGAAAAGCAGATATTACTCTGGGAGACTTTTTTTTTTTTTTTTCCTGCTGGGCTACCTAGAACAAGGATTCAGTCTGGTTATCTTTCTTAATATGTCCTTTCTTTTGGCTCTTTGATTGAAGAAGAAAGCCGCAATATTGATTTTTAAAAAAATTTTAATAAAACATTTTACTCTTTTGGAGGTGACGTGTTCTTTGGAAAAGGAACTTAATACCTTATTAAATTTCTGGGATTTTATAAAAGTGGGTTGCCGTCCCCTTCCTCATTTTATGCTCATCACGTTATAATTTTTAGTTTATTATGAACATGACTCTGGGTCATTTAATAAAAATCAAGAACCGCATACTAAGACAAAGCAAAACAAAGCTTTTTCCTGCGTGTAATGGGGCTATGGTCTTGTCAAGCCGAGATGACATGAAAATCCTAAGAAGTCAGGGTGATCTTATAAGTTCTTTAAGGGAATGCAGGAGATAGGTTGGTTGATAACTTTCCCCTGCTTTTCTGTGGGAAAAAGATACTACTTTCACTCTGCATGGAATTTCCTGGGTTCTCTTGGATTCAGCTTTCGTGCCTCCCTTTCACTCACACAGTAGTGCCGCAGAAGGCAGCCTGGGTAGCCATGCTTCATGGTGCAGATTTCCCAGATGGGGGTGCTGGGCTGGAAGGAAAATAGCATTGATCTATGGAAAGGTGGTTTCTAATTCCTTCCTCTCCTTTATGCACCTGCTGCCCATGCACTCCAGAGTTAGTCTATCAATGTTTATCAGGCTCTTTTCTCAGGTCAAAGAAGCTTCTGAGCCTGGGAACTAACTTTTCATTAAGAAAACGAGAAACTCTGTTCTCTAGGACTGTGCTGGTCATTTGACGGCCTCCCCACTTGGACCTGTGGACCACTGGGCAAGTGTGAAGCACGCCTTCTGATGTGCTCTCCATGTGAAATATAATACTGGGTTTTGGACATTATGTTGGGAGAGAAGACTGAACATTTTATTCAGATCTTTTTGTTTGTTACATGTTGAAGTGATAATATGGAGGGTATTCTGGGAAAAATGAAACAGGATTTTAAATGTAATTATTTTTTAAAGATTATTTATTTGAAAGGCTGAATTATAGAAAGAGACATGTCTTTATCCACTGATTCACTTCCCAAATGGCCTTAAAGCTGGAGCTGAGTTGAGTTGATCCAAACACAGGAGCCAGGAACTTCTTCCAGATTTCCCACATGAATGCAGAGACCCAAGGACTTGGGCCACCATCCACTGCCTTTCCAGGCAGATTAGCAGGGAACTGAATTGGACGTGGAGCAGTGGTGATTCAAACTGGCACCCATATGGGATATCAGTGCTGCAGGCGGTAGCTTCACTTGCTTTGCCACAGAGCTGCCCCTGAAGCTTAATTTTATGTTTTTTTTTAAAATATGGCTTCTAGAGAAATTAACATTATATTGGTAATTTGCATTATGTTTATTTTTTTAAGATTTATTTATTTTAAAGATAGAGTGAGTGAGTGAAAGAAAGAGAAAGAGTGAGAGAAATCTTCCATCTGCTGTTTGACCCTCCAAGTCACCCTAGCCAGCAGAGTTGGGGTGGGTTGCAGCCAGGTGCCTGGAGCTCTTCCTTCTGGGTCTCCCACAGGGCTAACCTCGTGTGGAAACTGCTGAGCCACATGGCCCAAGGACTTGTTCTATCTTCTGTTGCTTTTCCAGGCATGTTAACAGGAAGCTGGATGGGAAAGGGAGCAGCTGAGACTTGAACCAGTGCTCACATGGCACACCAGTGTCATGGGCAGCTGCTTATCACACTATCACAATATCAGTCTATTTTCGTTTTCATTTCCTATTTTTTTTTTTTTTGCATTATATTTCTGTGGACAGTATGGTGCTGTTCAAGAGTGGGAGAAATACTTGGTCACTGTTTTTCAGTAGTTCTTGTAACCTTCTTGAGATCTGTGTTCAGTGTGGTGACTGTTTTCTCTGTCTCTGATGTCTTCAAGGTTGAAATCAGTCTGCAGAGCAACTTCCAGCCGGGAATGAAATTGGAAGTGGCCAATAAGAACAACCCAGACACGTACTGGGTGGCCACGATCATCACCACATGTGGGCAGCTGCTGCTTCTACGCTACTGCGGTTATGGCGAGGACCGCAGGGCTGACTTCTGGTGTGATGTGGTCATAGCGGATCTGCACCCCGTGGGGTGGTGCACACAGAACAACAAGGTGTTGATGCCCCCGGACGGTGAGCCCACATTTACATAGTGTTGGTTTCCAGCTGACCATTGTCCTTCCTGATGCCTGAATTGGTGGAGGGACAGGTGGAGTGGGTAGGGAGGTAGCTAGTTGAGAATCTCTGGTGGGTTTAGTAGCAAGGTCTTTGGGCTAACTTAGAATCCATCATTTCTTGGCTTTGATGAGATGGCAGCACTGGAGTGTGGGAGATCGTGCATGTTCATTTGTCAGTGGAGCCAGCCAAGGCCTTTAGGAGATGGAAGTGTTGGAAATGCATCCTCAAGTTAATTTTATGCAGTGGGAAAGGAAGGCTGAGGGCACGATGCCCCTGGGTGATGACTTGTTTTCTGTAGGCATTGTGAGCAGGACTACAGATCCCTTAACCAGAGTTCTCTAACGACTTTTCATCTGTCACCCAGTGATGAGACGATCAGGGTAACAAGCACTTGGAAGCCGAACAACTGAGAAGAAAAGACAGGACCCTCGAAGGGAGGGTTGAAGCATGATTTAGTGGTTCTCCTGCTGTGGTTTTCTGTTGGGGCGGTTCTGTGTCATGGGAGAATGGGAGACGTGAGACAATATGTGGAAGCACTTTTTGTTGTTGGGGGAGGGGTGCCTTAGGTGTCCTGTGGGTGGAGAACACAGATGCTCCCAGATGGCTCCAAAGCTGAGAAGTGGATGTGTTCAACCTGTTAGTGGGGCAGGGGTGGAGACAAAAAGGCATCAGATCAATTTGTGTAAACCTGTATGCATGCAAACTGAGTTCGGCTAAAAACTTACATCTCAATACTCTATTGTGTATGTTTCATTATATGATTGTGACAGCAGTGTGATTGAAGGCTTTTTAAAAATAATATTAATTTATTTGAAAGTCAGAGAGAGAGAGAGAAGGGAGAGAATGTTGTCATCTCTCTGCTTCATGCCCAAATGCCTTTCATGTCTGAGATTGGATCAAGGATGAAGATGGCAGCTGGAACTCAATCTAGGTCTCTCACGTGCATAGCAGGGTCCCAGTTACTTGAGGTTTTCTCTGCTACTTTCCAGCAACTGCACCAGCAGAAAGCTGGAGATGAGTATCAAACCCAGCCACTCTCATGACTGGATACAGACAGCTAACCTGGGGTGGTAACTGCTAAGCCAAACACCTGTTGTTTAGCTGATACTTTCAAATTTGCCTTATCATTGAGTTACCACTGAACCAAGAAGGTACAAAGTAACATTTACTTTAAATTTCCCTTGGTTGGCTCTGATCAGGCATAAAGTGTGTCTTTAATGAATGGTCCTGATGGGACACTGGAACAATGCCAGTTCTATTAGAGAACTCCCAGCACCCCAGCTCTGTGCACAGGTGTCACATGGATACGTCTCCTATACCACACACTCAGAATGTTGAGTCAAGGGCCATGTACATGCCTGGGGACACAGAATAAGGAGGGGTGCAGAAGGAGCTCATCAGATCCCAGCTTCCATAGCAGGGCTGTGCTTATCCTTGCCAGTGTTTTCATCATGGCCTTTGTCACTCCTTCTTCAAGTGACCAGTCGCTAATACACTTGAAAGGGATAGAAGACAGCTTTTCTTTACCATCACTATTTTAGTTTCTTTAGTTAGTGAGAAGATCTCAGGAATGACATTTAACACACTGAGAACCAATGAGTTCATTTGTTAAAAATCTGTGCGGTGGCTCAAGAAACAGGGCATTGCTTATTTAGTTATTTATTAGTTAAATATGTGTTTTCAAAAATTTATTTAATTTTGTTTGAAAGGCAGAGACAGAGATGGAATCTTCTATCCATGCCTGTTCACTCCCCAAGTACCAACAATGGCTGACGCTGGTCCTGTCAGCAGCCAGGATCCAGGATCAGATCTTCTTTCCAGTTTTCCATGTGGGTGCAGGGGCCCAAAGACTTGAGCCATCCATTGCTACTTTCCCAGGCCATGAGCAGGGAGCTGGATGGGGAGTACAGCAGCTGGGACAGGAACCAGTGCCCATAATGGGATGCTAGCATCACAGGCAGAGGTTTAGCTTGCTATGACATAGCACCAGCTTCGTGGTCTAGTTTGTTGATCAATTATTCTTTCTCAGTTGGAAAAAAAAAGGTAGCAGCAGTTACAGTTTCAGAAATATCATTAAATATGTACCTTACCCGCTCTGTGCTGGTAGGCCACACACTGATGTGTATAAGATGACGTGTACACAATGAAAAATGGGAAAAACCATGGAAAAGGGACACTGATTATGTGACTGAAAAATGTAAGATCTGTTCAAACAATAACAAGTGATGTTAATTTGAGGATTTCTTCAGTGCTGTTTTTTCACACAGCTTAAAAAATTCAGTGGCGAATCAATATGACTTGGAAATCTTTAGTGCAGAGAACAAAGTCAGGAAATAGCAGGTTCATGGGGCAAGAGGTTTTATTGATTGCTGTAGGGCAGGATAATTATTGCTTTGTGACCAGAGGCAGCATTCGTTCCAGAGGGAATAGTAGAATCTGTTTTTTGAACAAGGGTTCTTGTTTGTGTGGTTTTCTGTCTCAGAGAGCTAATTCCATTGTAAATTCTGCAGCTGAACTTAGTTGATCTTTGTGGTGGTTAAACTTAAAAGACATCGCAGCATATTAACATGAATTACAGCCATGCGTGACACACAAGGGTTTCTGTTTGGGAGGCCTCCTGGCGATAGAGAGATTTTCTTACTGATCTCAGAAACCACTGAAGTAGCGTAGATGGGGGCAGGGCACCGCTGCTGGAGCCAGAGATCTGAGTTCTTATCTGGCTGTGCTGTTAAAATAGTTCCTCAGTGTTACCAGGCTTGAAATGAGCTGGATTACAAGGTATCATCTCTGAAGAGCTTTCCAGTCTGAAATTGCTTGGTTTGTGATCCTTGTGAAGGAGGAAAGGCTGGAAAGGGGCAGGAAAGACGCTTGGCTAGTTTTCTTCTCCTAGTCACAAGGTATGGAGTTTGCTTTGGAATCTATCCCTAGCACAGAAGGGAAGTTTCTGTGTTACTTGTTGGGAAGGTTAAAGTTTTTGTAACGGATCAGGAAACTCATGAACAACATGAGGAAACATTCAGCGTGCCTCCTCCATAAGGAATCAGGAGGCTCCAGTTCCCTGCTGCAAGTCAGACAACTGGGAGAGCTCCGGTCTGGATGGGAGTGACAGCCCAAGTGAAGTTGAGGGCGTGGGCAAGTGGAGGATGGCCTGGAAGTGTTTGGGGATCTTGCCCAGAATGTTTTGTGGGAGGAGGAAGTTGTCTTTGTCAGTTTGAGGTTGCGAAGCTCAAAATCTTAAAAGCACCTGAAGAAATCTTTTGAAGTCCCTTGTGTTGGAAGACGGTGATTTCATTATTTTTGAGGATTATTGCACAAGGCACAGAGAGCTTTTTATAGTCCATTTATTCCTGCTTCACTATTAATCTTTGAATTCTCACCCTGATTCTGTTAAATGCTGTAGGGAAGGAAACAGCACAGCCGCAAGCAGCAGCTCCGGGATATGTCACTTCAGTGTAATTCTGATTGGCAGTCCCAGAGCTCCATTCATAAGGATGTGTTCGGAGAGACACGGGTCAGCGGGCAGTTGGCCCCTCAGACAGCGGTGTTCCCACTGAGGAGCTAATTGGTGCTAATCTTTCATATTAAAAGTGTTAAGGAATGTAGTACATCAAGGCATCGCTAAATGCAATGGAGGATTATAGCCCTTATTAGCGGAGTAAAATGTCAAACATTTTGGCTTAGCAAATCAATAAGGTGTGATTTATTCCTAAGCACATGAAAAACTCGCAAAGGGCAGCTGCCAAATAATTATTGTTTATGGTGATAATGTATGGAAATCATTTAATCCAGGGATGGTTTCACTGTTGTTTATTGGGAAGCAGCGACATTACTTCCTAATGTTTGGGAGTTTGGAACTGGGGCGTCTGGTGGTCATGGACAGTGCCTGCCAGGTCCCTGTTGGATGCTCCCGTGAGACCGCAGGTGAAAATATTGATGGTGCGTATCCAAATCAAACCCCTCAGCTTATAAACCGGGGAGCATTTATGTGCACTTTCCGCTATTGCAATAAAAGTGTTGGAATTACAGTGCCTTAGGAGTCACGCTGCTAATTTTTATTTTCCTCATTATTAAAATTTCTGTAATTTGAATTGCAAACGCTGCAGTCTTGCCAGAATGACTCTATTTACGATGCAGAGTTGAATCCCGATTACTAGAGTCAGTTAATATATACCTTATTTGAATAAAGGAATGTTTATTCATGACATGTTAGCAGAAAGTGTGAAGCTGGCCTTCTGTGATATGGGAGGGTCCTGCCAAACTCTCCAGCCTGGTCCCAGGACTGTGTCGGGGGTGACTGGTTTTATAGGAGATGGCTGTGAAGGAAGAGTGGTGGGAGGTTCCAGGCAGACTGCGGTAAAGTGATGGGGCAACAACACTTGCCATTAATAGTCCATAGCCACTGTTTAACTGGTGGGGTTTTGTTTGTGTCTTATGAGACTGTTGAGGTTTATGTTGTTGAGGTTTATGTTTCATTATTTAAATGGCATTTTACCAACAGTAATGATATCTTCTCACATTGTTTCTTTTGATGTTTTAAATTGTAACTGGAATTGCATTGGTTTATTAATAACAAAATTCATTGTACATGCTAAAAACTCTGAAACTAAAATTAACTCTAACTGGGCCAGAGCCGAGAGAAAGAGAAAGAAAGAGTGAGAACCTTGTGAAATGTTAGTTTAAGAGGAGGAAGACACATTGGCATAAGAATGGGCAAGTTGTGTTTGGTAGACAAGAAATAAAATAAAAATTCTATATTTTAAAAAAGAGTGTTGGGGCTAGTATTTCAGGTTTAGCCAGCATCCCAGATGGGCTCCAGATGGAGTTCCAGCTGCTCCACTTCTGATCCAGCTCCTTGCTAACATGCCTTTGGGAAGCAGTGGCAGATTGCTCAAGTATTTGCCTCTCGGTACCCATGTGGAAGATCCAGAGAGAGTTCTAGGCTCCTGTTGGCCTTT